CAGAATACTGTGGTGTCAGTGTGATCCGTGTGGGAGTACCAACAGTTCACAACTCACAACCTGACCAACTTCTGCAGCACTGCAGCATAACGTAAGTTCAGCAGTCATCTCCCCTTCCTTCTGCTGTGTTTTCTGACCAGCTCTGCTGAATCTTCACTTATATGTATTTTAACATAGGAAGGCGGTTTGAAGAATCATCATTAATGATTCCCTTCGGCTTTAGGATGGATTTTAGCATCTTGAAGTCCAATGCTTCAGCCTTGTTGCTGTTTAGTTACATTGGTTCTTAAACTGTGGGGCGGTGGTGAGGTGAGTTGTGGGTGAACAGGAGAGAAAGTGGAACTACGTAGAGTGAATATAATTTTTTTTAAGGGGAAATGATTAAAACAGAGGTTGATGATGCTGTGGTGCTGATTTCACTACTGTTCATCGTAGATCACAGGGTGGTGAAGTGGAGCCTGCCAGCAAAGGTTTGAACCACTGCATTAGATCATTGCTATTATCACTGTGGGTTTAATAGCAACTCCAAATCAGCACTGAATACTCACATTCCTGTGCTTAACTGTGGACTTCAGTCCTATTAATGCACTGTCCCAGTTCACAGTGAAGTATTACCTTCAATCACTAAATTAAAAGTAACTAAATATGGCTCATAATGCAAACAGCAGGGATGGCAAAACCATAAAATGCTCTTTTCTCCTGCTGGTCAGGATAAGAAGGAACCCTGTGGCTCCTTTCCTGGGTTATTATGAGATTTCCCAGTGTAGTAATTATCTGCCAGATCGCTGAGCCACTCCTTTCTGCTTCATTTACAGTCTGTCTGAAGTAACAGGGTGTGCTCAGTGAGAAGTTTCCTTTTTTAACACAGGAGAATGTCAAAGAGCTTCTTGGCTGCTATATCGCATATGGAAGAAAAGCTTTTAGACGTGGTCCTTCTTAATCTAGAACTGCAGGAAAACAAGAGCAGGTATAACAAATGTTTTATAACTGCTGAAACAAAGAGCTACAAGAGCCCTAGTGTAGATCTAGGCAGCATTTGCAGTGAGGGTGACACAAAATCACTGTTCATCAGTCTATACATGAAGGTCACAAACACACTAATCAAGATTTAATGCATGGCGACGTTCCACCCAAGTCTGATAAGATAAATTAAAATGATTACAGTAAATGTCTAATAGTACAAAAAGAATTGCATGTGTGGTGGGCAAAATTAAGCATTACTATGGATAATTTGCAAGTATCAGATGGTGTGCAAAAAACAGAAAAGGTTAAAATGTTACCCATGAAACACCTTATACTCAGTGACTGCCATCTTGGCTACATACCACAATGGCAGTGAACGCCAAACAATGTACAGCCTGTTGAAGGAGTATATAGCTAGTTCACTCACTTGGCCCACGTCCTCATTTTAGGTTTGACAGCATTTTAGTAGATAAAGGTGAATGGCTTGGACATGAATGGAGCTGCGGTTTGGGGAAGGCCTGAAAGGGGACTGGTGGCGAATCCGGGGCCTGGCAGATCCCCATGTACTAAACAGAAGTAAAGAAGTTAAAGAATTGAAAAGGGTGGGGAGGGTGGGGCACGTGAACAAGAACAAACAGATTGTAGAAGTGGGGGAACATATATAGATAAGAACCGGAAGGAGTGTGTTTGGAGGCGTGGTCCTGCTCCTGAAATTCACGTTCTCACTCCCAAAGCGTAACATTTTACGCTAGGTGACAAATCGTCAACATATTACGTTTTCGGCTACCCACCACGTTCCTAAATGACGACCTCGGAAAAATGAGGAAATATGAGAACCGTCTGGACTCAATCTACACATGTGCGCTCGTTTTCTTCAAATTGCTTAGAAACACGCTATTTAACATCATTAAAGTCCTGGTTAAGATCAAGAATAAGGTTATGGTTAGGGCTAGGGATAAGGTTAGGTTTAGGGCTGGAATACAGGGCTGAAACGTCTATTACCACGGGAGCGTCATTGCACTGGATTTCAGCCATAACCCGCCGCGTACCATAAGAACGCCGAAGGTCTCCTTTTGCGTTCCACAGGAACGCAGCGGGACGTGACAAAACGTCGGCATGTTACGCCTCGGGAGTGAGAACGGGCTTCAGATACTTTGTCTCCAACTAGAACTGCCAATAATGTTAGTTCTAGCTAGCTAGCTGTTAGCTAGGAGCCAGGAGCTTGCCTGTAAATTCATGTACTACACAAAGAAATACATATGAGGATGGTGCATTAAAAGCATGCTAATAGAAGTATCCAAGCTGAGACACTGAGTTTAAATGGGTCAGGCTTTGTTGCCCAGTTGCAGTGATGCTGGAATCTGGTTCTGTGAACCAGAACTGGTTTACCAAAGAGAAGAAACTGACTCTTTTTAAAGTGTAAAAATTGCAGTTGAGGTAACCATCATTATTGGACACAAAGCCTCTGTGGTTCATGTGAGCCAGTAGACTTAATCAACATCGGTTTTACAGCCTTTTCTCTAAGTCGAGACATTACCAGAGTCTGCAGTACAACACCAAAGTAAGAGCTGTGGTGGGGCGTCTGAGTTACATCATTAAGGTTTCTTCTAATGAAAGAGACTCACTGTGGAAAACTACTGGAACTGGACGTATTCACATCTTTTCATTTGAAAATCCATGGTTATGTTAACGATTAGTTTTGAACTTATACAAATGTGAGCTATCAGCAATGTCTCCATCCTTTGATCGCAGCTGATACAGGCTTTCATCATTTGAATATTTCATAATTTTAACAAATAAAAGGAGCGTTTTGTGTTTGGAGACTAATATGGAAATGTGACATTTGATGGTGTGCATCCTGACTTTTAACGATCTGCTTGGAAGCATCTGTACCAATCAGTGATGATTATTTGAAACTGTTTAAGTGCTTCTGTTGAATTTTCTGCAGCCACCGAGGACGTTTGCATCAATTATGACCAACAGGAAAAACTGGTGTGATATGTCAGTCTTTTATTGTAAGTGCACAGCTGATTAGTTTCATCAGAGAAGTTCACATAGATATCACATTTCTACAATTACAGTATATTCTATTATAGATGACTCTCGGTTCTGTACACACCTAAGACACAGCAGTGCTTAAGGCTATATATTCTGTCGAACATGCTGTAGTTTACAGTATTAACATTATCGCCGTGAAGAACATCCCAAGTATGCGATGGTGCTTCCTT